ATTCTCACTCTCAACACCTCGTCGTGATGATGAGTGAGATATAAATGAGCAATGAGGGGCACAGGGAACTTCACTATCATTTACATCGTGGTGTAGAGTTCTTCAGAGAAGAAACTCTTCTCAGACTGAGAAACTCGAATTCAGGTAAGCTCGACTTTCATATTTCTCTTCCCCAATATTCCGTACCCCACGGCGGGTTTCCTCACGAAGCGTTGATTGTGACAACCATCCAGAACCTAGCATTTTTTCTAACGGATTTTTTCGATATTTTCAGCAGTCCACAAGCATTAAGCATCGGAAATCTCTGCTCACTCTTTAGAGTAGGACATGGAAGCCACGAAGAACGGATCTGCTCTCGGTGTTGGAACATCTTTCCATGATGCCGTGACCCAGCTTAACCAGTCGAACACTCCGCCTGATGACGGAGTGGGTTCGAGCACCCTCGATTCGCAATCTTCCGGAAGCGTCGCATCGCAGGGTACGATGTCTCCTTCCGCCGCTTCGATATCCCCGTCGGACACTCCAAACGTGTCTCAGAGCCAGCAGAAGAGCTTGTGCCCCCTGCATGGAGAAGTTCTGAAAGACACCACGGAAGCTGAGTTTGCGGAGTTTTGTGCAAAAATCCGCGCGTCACACTCGGACTTGATCAAAGAAAACTGCCCACGGGGTTCCGACCAGATAGGATCTCTGATCGGCGAATTCCTGGTCGGCAAGAAGGGCTGGGATTTGGAGGCCGCGACTACCGCGGTGAGGAAAGCCAGAGAGCCCGGCATCTGCGAACAGAACTGCGTCGACTCCTGTTTCGCCCGACTAGGAAGCGTCGAGGGACTTGACTCCATGGATATTCTCCCTCGGCTGCCGGACGGTTCCTGGAGCAGTTCGCAGCGATTGATTACTCGGGTTCCGGGCGTGACCCCAGCGCCTGATCCTGAATGGGTCCGAAAGTTTGCAGCCCAGCTCTGTGGTCACCGAGAGCCGGGATTCCCAGGCACAAACCACTCGCGTCTGAGCCGAGAGACTCTGCCGAAACTCTCAGGAGCAACCTACAAGGTCACCTGGAAATCGGAAGGTCTCCGCTGCCTGCTGCTGATTACAAATCCAGGCGTCGTGTACCTCTTGGACGAGCGGAACGAAGCCTACCGAGTTTCCGGCTTGACTTTCCCCTACTCGGGGAACACCTCGAAGCAGATTTTCACAACGCTGCTCGACGGAGAACTCGTCTTCGACCAAGACGCGGGTAAAAAGCAGACCGCGCTACCTCATCCACGATATTCTGCATTTCCGATGCAGCGCAGTGCGGAAAATGGACTTCAATGTGCGGGAGCTTTGCATCCAGAAAGAGATCATCGAAGCCAGGCGGCAATCGGCGCAGGCTGGCGTCTTCAGTCCAGTGGACGAGCCTTTCTCAATCCGGAAGAAGGATTTCTTCCCGGTCAACATGACTGGGGAGTTGCTCGCGCCGACTTTCAGATCGCAGGTCCCGCACAGAGTTGACGGCGTCGTGTTCAAGC